CCTCTCGCCTACAAACACAGTATTTGTCAAATAAAAATTTGCCTGTGGAAAAGCAGGCCATATTATCATTCATGGCTTTTCAAACCGACATTCAAATTTATAAATTGTGCTAATAAGACACCGTAAAAACGAAATATAATAATAAAAATGGATGACAAAAAAATTTGGTGTGCATTTTTAATAATTGCGTTATAAGATGGCGAAAAGAATGTTATTAAAAGAACGAAATGGATAGCCTCGTGAAAACAACATTCACATGTGAATATTTTGAAATAAATTCGAGACTCTGAGCCCATGGACTTTAAAAACTATTTCATAATGTCCAGATGTTTCAGACTGCTTTATTTTTTGAGTTACTTTCTGTAGGATGAACGTATGCTATTTATTTTGTTTTTCACGTCGTCCGCAGTACAATTTATTTTATAATTTTTCATTAAATGTAGCAGCTCTCCATGCGATTTAATTATAATGTCGAAATTTATTGTCCGCCTGCCGTTTTTTATGTTCACATTATCGAACAAACAAACATCTGACTGTCACGCAACCATAAAAATTTTTGTGGTTGCCTGATGACTGAGAGAAATTAACGGCCACACTGGCATGCAAACCGATATTTCATCAAGAGTGTCATTCAAAAATGATAGTGTGTACACCGCTTAAAAAAACCAAACTATGTTTTTTATCCGATAATATCGATATCGAAGAGGGAGTCTCTACGAGTATTTTGGTATGCACCATTTGTTCAAATTCAGTTTTTTGTAGAACAAAGTTGTTGAATTTCTGATTTCCAACTGGTGGTCAGGACACCAAACTGGCTCTGGAAGCCTCCCTATACAAACCTCGAAAATAGTGATGGTACCAAATAAAAGAGGGAGTCTCTACGAGTATTTTGGTATGCAACATTTGTTCAGATTCAGTTTTTTGTAGAACAAAGTTGTTGAATTTCTGATTTCCAACTGGTGGTCAGGACACAAAAATGGCTCTGGAAGCCTCCCTATACAAAACTCGAACAAAGTGATGGTACCAAATGAAAGAGGGAGTCTCTACGAGTATTTTGGTATGCAACATTTGTTCAAATTCAGTTTTTTGTAGAACAAAGTTGTTGAATTTCTGATTTCCAACTGGTGGTCAGGACACAAAAATGGCTCTGGAAGCCTCCCTATAAAAAACCTCGAACATAGTGATGGTACCAAATGAAAGAGGGAGTCTCTACGAGTATTTTGGTATCCACCATATGTTCAGATTCAGTTTTTTGTAGAACAAAGTTGTTGAATTTCTGATTTCCAACTGGTGGTCAGGACACAAAAATGGCTCTGGAAGCCCCCCTATGCAAACCTCGAACATAGTGATGGTACCAAATGAAAGAGGGAGTCTCTACGAGTATTTTGGTGCATACCAAAAAACTCGCAGAGACTCCCTCTTTCGTTTGATACCCTTACTTTGTTCGAGGTTTATATACGGAGGCTTCCAGAGCCATTTTGGTGTCCTGACCACCAGTTGGAAATCGGAAATTCAGCAACTTTGTTCTACAAAAAACTGAATCTGAACATATGGTGCATACCAAAATACTCGTAGAGACTCCCTCTTTCATTTGGTACCATCACTATGTTCGAGGTTTGCATAGGGGGGCTTCCAGAGCCAGTTTGGTGTCCTGACCACCAGTTGGAAATCAGAAATTCAACAACTTTGTTCTACAAAAAACTGAATTTGAACAAATGTTGCATACCAAAATACTCGTAGAGACTCCCTCTTTCATTTGGTACCATCACTATGTTCGAGGTTTATATAGAGAGGCTTCCAGAGGCGGACATCTCTCCTGATTCACTGGATTAAAATGTTTGTGACTTAGTAATACTTTAGTTTTAGATTATAATAAAATATGTTTCAAAATCTTCGTATTTTTTATTAGTTTTCATTACTAATGAATTATGTTAACATTTTTATTAATAATTTTAAAAAATTATTAATTTATAATATTCTGCGCTATCTCTGTTGGAAAGCAATGTTGATAAAAATAGTATTAAACGTGAAATTGTGATGTTCTGTGTCACCCTGTAATTTCGATAAAAATTGTGTTATCGAAAGTTAGCGATATCGCTATCTTCACGCAGGTTCGATATTCAATGAAAAAAAAAGAATCGATACTATCGATATTACCATCGATTTTCTTACAGCTCTAATCCCTAGTCAGTTTTAAGTAACTACCAAAGCGAGTATACATATTAAAGAAAGCAGAGACGAATTCAATGACTAGTTTTTACAAAGTAATGGATATTAAGTTTCCTTAATACACAAATTTAATTTCTATAAAATCGTATATGTAAAGCTTATTTGTAATAAATATGGTAGCATTAAATATAAATGTTGTTTATTATTGACATGAACATTTTTAAGGAAAACATTCACTGAGGGGGAAGGAAAATTGCATACATGCCCCTCTTTCGGCATAGAATCTTCAAACTGATTGAAAGGGAAAGAAAAACCACAATTATTTAATGCTGATATCCTTTCACTCATCTGATTTAGAACCCATATGCATAAACAACGAAATTGATGTCTAACCCCGAAGCAATGTTAAAGTTGAATGTAAAATGGGCGATTCTTTGGTCTGTAGTTTACGAGCATATAAGAATAATATTTAGGTTCTGCGGGTTGTTACTTTTTTCCATTCCCTTACGATTTGGCGTATGAACAGTTTGTGGAAATAATTGCGGAGCATAATTGTCCTACATTGCAATCACCAAAATACGAAACTTTCATTATGCGGCAACTGAAGTAGTTCATTCTAGTGAATCGATGATTTGAACTATTCTATTTGCGGTCTAACATGCATGGTACAATTATAAAAGGTAACAGCAAATCCCAGCTGATTTGATTCCAACGTAATACTAGTGTCAATATGAATTTGACAAATTATGTTTTTAAAAATCACCCAACAGGAAAATCATGGTACAATTATAAGAGGTAACAGCATTCAATTCAAATTTGTTCTGTATTAAATGTCCTCCCGTATTCATTTTACTCAATCTGCAATCTGAGGAAGCAAATCTTTCTTCAAAGAACAACTCGCTATTCCCAGCATTTGCATATGTGTTACACATATATATGGCAATGGCTCAATTATAGGAAAGATGTGGAAGCGATAGAAATATACATTTTATAGATTTTCATTCATGTTTTTCAATTTTTATTTTGAGGATTCAAAAATATTTCATTTTCAAAATAAAAATAATTTGATGATAATTTGTTTGTTTGTCTACATTTTCTGTCAAATGAGTTGACACTAGTAGAACTTACAACAACAAATTTCCATGTGGTTGTTGTATCGTTTTTTGTACAACAACACTTGCTGTTACCTTCTATTATTATACCATGTCTAACATGGTACAAAACCCATCTGATTTGATTCCAACGTTATACAAGTGTTAACGTGAATATGACAAAATGTGTTTTTAAAAATCACCCAACAGGAAAATTGGGAACGCATACAATTCGAAATTGTTTTATAGAAAGATGTGGATGTTTTTCAATTTTATATTGAGGATTCGAAAAATACATTTTCATAATAAATATAATTTGTTTGTTTGTTTACATTTTTCTGTCAAATGACGTTGACACTAATATAACTTACAACAACAAATTTCCATGTGGTTGTTGTATCATTTGTTGTACAACAACACTTGCTGTTACCATGGCACAATGAATAGTAGTCCATTTAGCGCAGCTGATGTTTCGATTAACTGTCAAAGTGGATAATTTTACTTGAATTCGATGTGCAGTGTTGCCAACCATTTGAAATATTATAAGGAAAATTTTGACAGATGATCGAGACAAAAACAATGGTTTTTGTTTTGATACATCATCTTATTAGGTTCGTTCGTTTACTTTCCCAGTAATATTTACTCAGTAAGAATTTGCAGAGAGTAAATACGAATTTTTCCTTTTCAAGAGAGAAAACTGCAAAAAGTAAACGAACAACATCCAGTAAAAAGATTGTTTCGACACAGCTGATTAAAACAACAAACAAATTGGCGCAAACTATAAAACAGCATTTTTATTAGAAAAATGGATAACAAGCGGAAAATTGATGTTGTTTGTTCCCCATAAACATTTAAAAGGGTTCTGACCTGTTATTCCTGTATCTGCAATTGATATGGGGGTGGACATAACCGATGGTGTTCCAGACATGTTAGGGATGCGCACTTTTTTGTTTCGATTTGGAACCTAAAAAATCGTTCGCCAATTACTCTTATTACTCTTTTTTTTAAATACTTGCGTTTTCTTCATCCATTTTGGTATTTAATGATACAAAATCAAAATAAAATTCACAAAAGAATCAATTTTCTTGAGAACAATTTTTTGTTTGTTTACAAAACATAACAAAACAGCTGATTAAATATCAGCTGATGGTACAAGAAAATTCTTACTGAGTAAATTTTCCTTGTAAGAATTTGCAAATACTCAGTAACACAACTGTCAAATCTGCTCTCTCAATTCACTCTCTTTTACTGGACTTTTGGGTAAACGAACAACATTTTGTAATAATTTGTACAAATTCGTACAAATTATTGAGTAAACGAACGAACCTATTATTGCATCATGATTCTACTACTGAGAATTGTTGGAACGCAACTTATGCCCTGAGTGCGTATTATCCGTCGATTTACTCCAAATGTTGACGGCGGCATATTTTTTGTGTTGACTTTGCTGTTAGTAGGAGTGTGTGTTTTGAAACACTTTATTTACATGTAAATTAGGTTTGTTTTGCTTATAATTAAAAGAAAATGAATTGTTGTGTTACATATTTTGGATGCAAGAGTGCTAGTGATAAAATATATAAGTGAATGAGATTCATTTCGTTGACAAGGCAATTTATAATACCATACATTTTGAATACTCCACAGAATTCCTTTTGTTCCAAACTCTGAAGCAGGGTGTAGTGGACAAAGCTGGTAAAAGATATAAAAACATATTTTGAAGAAGATTGTTCTTATTGTGACATGTTCAGTGGACAGTCTTCGCCTAGGAAACGTAAACACTGTGAGTTCCACGATCCAGACTATGCCCAAGCAGTTCAGACAACATGTGATGACGAATCGACCAATCCCGAAAATTCCATTGTCAAAAGGCAAAAACAAGAAACTTTGCAGAGTTCTGCCATAGAAAAGAATCAGGAGTGTATTGAAAAGGTTAGACAAATTATCGAGCGAGAATTCAATAGTGAACTGGCATTTAAACAGCAGCAACTGTTTGATATAGATGAACGTCTTGAGAAAGCGAGATGTATTCTGGATAAGTTGAGATATGCTTTAGTTTCTGCTTACTACAAAAAACAAGACTTGCCACTTGCGGCAGTGACAACATCAGCTGTAAGAAGTGCTCAACCCTTATTCAGCAGAGAGGACAAGGGTCCCCAAATGCAAATACATCCATCTTTGAAAAAATTAATTGGTAAAAAACCTAAGGACTTATCAGATGTTATACGTTCATGCCCCAAGAGAACAGCAGCACAGAATGCAGTACAGACGATTAGAGCTAAGTCCGAAATTCAGAAAAAAGAAGAAAGAAAGTTAAAACAACTAATAAGAGGCCAAGGAATCGTTATTGATCACTCAACAAATGATGACAAGCGGGCCGATGTTGCAGCTCTCTTAAATGCAGCGCAATTATCAAAGAATGCACTGCCAAAAAGTGTGCACCAACCCCAATTAAATACAGGAAAAGGGAAACAAGGAAAAGCTTTAAATTCGTCGCGGTTAAACAACAAAGAAAAACATTTATTCGTAGTTGGCAATACATCTAAGTTTATCGGCTCTGAGCAAGATAGAGATCCCAAAAATAAGTCACAAATATTAACGCACAAATGGCTTGTGTATGTCCAGACAAAGAACTCTACTGTACCACTTGAAAAATTTGTTAAAAAAGTTCGATTTCACCTGCATCACTCATATCGTCCTAACGATATCGTGGATGTCTTATCTCCGCCTTTTCATGTTGCTAGAAGGGGCTGGGGTGAATTTCCTATTCGAGTGCAACTTTTCTTTCATGAAGAATTTAATCAAAAACCTATTCAGCTTCTTCACACCGTAGTATTGGACAAAACTCTGTCTGGCATACAAACATTAGGAGCTGAAACATTACTGGAAGTGTGGTTGAGAAATACTTGCTCTATGCAATCTGAAAATAAGAATGATATATCTGCTTCGCAGGCTGATAACCTAAATGAAGCAAATGCAAAAACTTGCCAAGTACCTTCCACAGAAGAGTTAGTAGACGATAACCTATTAGAATTTTTAAATAAAATTGAAGCTAGCCACTCAATTAGTGCAGATATTGAAAAAATTCAGCCCACATTTGTTATTTCGGAAACAAATCCATGCAAGAGTCCAGTTAAAACGACAATCCCTATTAAACCTCCTTCTCCGAATAATCCCAATTTTAAAGCGTCATTGGGAAATGATGTCAACATTATTCCACATATCCCAAATGCTTCGCAAATTCCAGAAAAAGATCCGATTCCACATGCTTGTGTCGACAACAACACTAAGGAAATGAAGAATGATTTGCCAGAAAACCCACCCAATTCAAATCACATTAAAATACAAACTCTAAATGATGAAAGGTTAATGAACAACTCGAACTCCAAACAACAAATGGTAATGTCTCATAACCCTACAAATTTGACGACAGATGCGAGGAATTCCCCACTTTTTCCGCATAAGAACACAGCCTCGGTTACTAAGGATGGTAAAATCATTATGCCTATAAATTCCGTAGCTTCTATAGTACGGAGAACAATATTACCAGTAATGAATACAACAAGAAATGTATCGAATACCTATACTACGTCCCTAAGTCCAGCAGGCTCACCAAATATACATGCAAAAACACCTCCAATTCCCGCTAAACAAATTTTGCAAAAGAAACTAGTTCAATTAGTTGATTCTACGGGTAATGTAAAGTATATGCAAATGCTTGTTGCAACTTCTTCTACTTCGCCAACTACAAAAGCTCATGAATCATCCACGTCTATGGCTCCAAAACTTTTAGCATCCACAGCAGGTGTTCATACTTCTTCGGGTAAGTTATAAATTTGTACACTTTAAATTGCTCTTAAAAATATGTTGGAAAAATATATATTTTTTCAGTATACTTCGTTCTCCCTACAAAAACTATGTGCGATGGGTTTTGAAGGGAACTTTTTCATATTTCATATTCCAATGGTATGAATCGAGCACATTGTTCAATTGTCTCGATACAACTCATCGAACTGATCGAATGAATATAAATTCGTTAATCTATATATATTTAAAAATGGAGCAAGAAAAATGTATACTAACGCATCAATTGAGAACGGCTGGACCGATTTGACTCAAATTTTCTTTCATTTGTCGGTAATTACAGTGGGAAGGTTTTTATGAACGAAAATTTTGAGAATAATCCGCGAAAATCTTGCAAAAATTATTTTAAAGAATCGGCTGGACCGATTTGACTTAAATTTTCTGTTAGAAGTCTGTAATTGAAGTGGAAAGTTTTTTAATGAAAGAACATTTTGAGAAAAATACGCGAAAATTTTGCAAAATATATTTTGAAAGATATTAGCATTCCACACATTTTATATCGAACCTTTATGGTTTCATCTCTTCGTAGTTCTTTTTGGACATATTTTGGGCGAAAATGGCCAGCGTATATCTTTAAGTAATTGTTAATTATGGAAAATTGTCAAAATATGTTAATTTTCTACAATTAATTGGATTGTCATTACCTTGAAAAAACTATTGTATATGAAAATAAATTTATATTTTCATTAGAGTTAAATTTAATAATAAGAAATCGTAAAGGGAGAGTAAGATTAATCGCTATCATTATTTGCTCACTTTTTCCATAAAATCAAGATTTATTTAGTTTGAAAATATACGTTCTGTTATGTGATGAAATTTGCATGGTATATATAGGTTGTAAAATTTTTCTCGAATAAAATACAGTAAGACATTAATGTAAAGATTAACGAGTCCATTATGTGGAGCCTATACCAAAAACTATCTTACTCTATGGAGAATACCGATGTTAGTAATTCGCTATATACGATTACAAATACGTCAACAAAATAAGAAGGTATTATTGAACATTTTCTTATATTCGGGAAGAATACATTTAAATTCGAATCCTACATGGTGGCAATTCCGCATTTGATGCTGTTTTTGTCTAACTCATATGTGCCTTTATGGTTCCTCAAATGTATTTTTAAAGATGTGAATAATGTTTGCATGGTATATTGACTGTACCGTTGGGAAGTTTTTTACTAAGAAAATGTTGAGAAAAACATCAACAAGTCGGGAAAATGGAATAATCGAACGTTGTGTTAGTTACATTGTTTATAACTCAAGGACTCTACACCTATTTTAACGATTCAAAGGACTTATAAATCGTATGTGGTCAGAATAGGAAAATATGAAAACTAATTGTGAGATTCCGCCAAAACAAATATATTAAGTAATATTTACAATTCCCCAATTTTGGTATCGAGCTTTAATGTTTAAATAAATTGTTGTTTTTTAAGACATATGGTTTTTTGATTTAGATAGATCAAAACTTCTAATTTCTTAAAATATGTGTATGTTATAATACTAATAATGCGATCATTAACATCGACAAAAATAATGGTAATGATAGCATTATTAGTATTCCCGTCAGATATTTGAATTTTGTCTTATTTTCTTTAGAGACAAAGCTGTTGGATATGAAATCTCATTTCCTTATTTGTCAAAAAGGTATTATTTTTTCGACAATGTTTCTTTTTTTGGCCAACAACTTGAAGATTGGATGTGAACCTATGTAACGTTAAACAACAACTTATTGAAATGTTAAATTAAAATCAAGTTGTTAAAAAATGTGAGGATATAACAAATCCGATTAAAACATTTCACGATTTAGTTTTAGTTATGATATAAAACAAACTTTATATATATATAGAATATATAGCAAAGATACACATATCTATAACGGCAGTCTGAAAACTAATTAACAATTTGTTTAAAAATGAAATATACCTATAACTGAGCAGAAATCACTAAACTTCTATTCCAAATCTAAAATTTTTCGAGTTATATACTTATTTTAATATAAAAATCAAAAGGTCAGTTGGACGTAAACAAAATTGTATTGTAATTAAGAATCCTTCAAGAAGGGACAAATAAGATAATGTAAAAACGTTGGAGCAATAACAAAACACGATCTTCTGTTGAAAAAAAAACTTTTGGTGAAATAAGTTCTACCAAATTATAAACTGCTATGTTCTTGGTCCTGCATTGGGTACCAATTAATACTTTTTATTGACATAAACTTAGTGGCAAATGTTTTTACCAATCTTATATTGATAAGACGAAACAGCGTTTGCCGGGTCAGCTAGTATTCTATATTTATATATTTTTAACTGAAAAGAAGCTGTAATTCAGATATCCTATATGATTAACCTACTCAGAAACATATCACGAAATAGTCTATGTGAAAAAATGTTTATATATATATATATATATATATATATATCCGTTTCAAATATATATTTTTTAGGCTTTCAAAATTTAATGTTGTCTTATATATCCACGTTTTTATTTTTATTATCATTAATGATTCGGAGCTAAACAGTATATATAGGACCAAATGTTAGTATGCTTCCATATAACGTATACCCTACACGATTTTGTGTAAGAGTATTATAGTTTTGTGTTTGTAACGTCGCGAAATATTGGTCCCCTACCCACGCGTTATTATACCGATCATATCTCGACTGAGCTAATCTAGACATTGTTTTAGGCCGTTCGTGACCCCTGTTGTGTTTACAATTCTGTATGTAAGTCCGTTTCCGGCCAAAGTATACCGCTGTTTTTATCTAGTAATGATCGGTAAATATTTATGGTATGAAATGGACCATATACGTATGTTATTCTAGTCGCTGTAAAGGTCACACGATTTTGTGTAAGAGTATTATAGTTTTGCGTTTCTAACGTCGCGAAATATTGGTCCCCTGCCCACGCGTTATTATACCGATCGTCATATCTCGACTGGGCTGATCTAGGCATTGTTTTAGGCCGTTCGTGACCCCTGTTGTGTTTACAATTCTGTATGTAAGTCCGTTTCCGGCCGAAGTATACTGCTGTTGTTATCTAGTAATGATCGGTAAATATTTATGGTATGAAATGGACCATATACGTATGTTATTCTAGTTGCTCTAGAGGTCACTATTACGATCCAAGTATCAAGAAATTTTAGACAGAAAAGGGATCTGCTCAATGAATAAGCTGGCTTTTTCATGATATTTCGCGGTTCAAATGGACCAATGTTTTAGCGATTATGTCGTATGAATTTAAGCCAGAAGGACAGAGGTCGCAGAAGCTGACCAACCAATTGGTTGACTTTTAATATGATAACAATTATATTGATGAATGTACTGGGATGTGGGGGTCTAGGTATTCTCATATTGCCTAATATTTACATTGTGGTGCGGAAGTGTCGCGGAGGGGATGAAAGGAACGAAAAAAAAATTGTCTGGTTTTCAAGGTGCCACAATTTTAAGCCGAACATTACAAATCTTACACGGGGAATGTAATCTGCCCAACTAATTACAATGGCTGTTTTAATAAAGATCGGTATTTGGCGGGTCAATTAGTTTCGACTCTTGTGTGAAATATAAACAAATGAAAATATGATAGGGAAGAAAGACTAGCTGTTGATCTCTAATCGGTCAAGTAATATTACCTAAACTCGGTGGTAGTTGGGAAGGGTATAAGGATGTTATAAGTTTGCCGGATAACTAACTAGGAGAACTAGGAGAAGACATTTTTGTACAATAATTTGTAATCAAATTACAGCCATAATTTGGAACGACTAAATATTATAGAGTTGGCGGATTTGACATCGGTAAACGCCCACAGTTTTTTTTTAAATTTAGTGTAAACAGTATTTTCTTAAATTTTAAGTAGCCCTACATCCGAACATTGATCGATTATTACGATCCAAATGAAGTATTGCTTGTAAAACAGCATATACATTACAACTTTTTTCCGGGTTAACCTACTTCATTGACAATTGGAACCCACTGGGTTAACGAAATCCGGTTAAATGTAAACGTACTATAAAACCATTTTAGTCCCAAAATATGCACAATATAATAAAAATCGAACAATTTAATAATGATAAACAATCCTTTCTTTATTGTGCGTCATTCCAAAAAGTGAAGGTACATTGATACTTGTTACCACTAGAAGTTTTTTATAATTTAATTGTTATAATAGCTATTTGTACTTTTAGGCGCATATTTAAGTTTTCGAATAAAAAATTTATTCTTCCCTTCTTCCTCCTCCGTTAATTTGGATACAATCCAAATTTTACACAGTTTTTCCTCTATTAGAAAACCACCGACATTGTGGGTTGAGCCATGTCAAGGTTGAAGTAATTGCCATGGGACTTTTGAAAACTTTCCTCCACAAAAAAACATCAGAGCAGCACACATTTTTATGGGAGGAGGAATTGCTGCTGACCGCCGGGCTTTTCGGGAAGCAGGGTTTAAGGCTTCAACTATGTACACAACGGCATATTTTGGTAGCGGAAAATACGCCTTCAAGTTCGCATATACTCACCGAACTGATGGTAGTTCTAGTAGATTTATCTCTTAAGTGCTTTCTAATAACTGACACACCTTGAAAATAATTTTCATCATCAAAAATAGTTCCAATGAGCTTATCAACACATATAATTAGTTATTCTGAAATATTTTATTCATTTTTTTGTTTGTTTACAATATTTCTAGTTGAAGAAGTGTCAAAACAGTCTTAAAGTGCGTTTACATTGTACCGGATTTGGTTAACCCAGTGGGTTTAAATTGTCTATTCCTTTGAATATATGCCAAATAAATCCTCATAAAGTAGGTTAACCCGGTAAAAAGTTCTAATGTAAATGTCGTATTATCGACGGCAACTGAGAAAAGTTGATATTCATAATGTTAAGTTTTATTTCAGTGGCGTTGCCAGTTGAAATCGTAACTGGAGTTTGGTTGCTTTCCATAATCGACCCATAAAAATGTTAGTGTTCCACTGTTCGGAACACTAAAAATCGCAGTGTTCCACTGGTCGGGACAATACAAATCGTAGCGTTCCACTTACTTGAATTATACTGGCAGTGTACCATACACTTCTGTTTTGTTTTTTGAGGTAAAATGAGATCAAATAATATAAAATAAAAATGAATATAACTTAATTTGCAATTAAAAAAGGTAGGTATTTTGGCCAAACCTTTTTTTGTAATTTGCTCGGTATAATATTTTTCGAATATCCCTCCTTTTTACATTTAAGCCGCCTTGTAATAATAAAATTTATATTTAATTGTGAAATGTAGTATACAACCTTAAGGTCGAAAGACTGGACAATGCGAAATATAAAATTAATAAATTAAGTAAAATCGAATGTATCAGTTAATGAAATGGGCAGGGTATCTTCCTATCCGTCATCTGGTACGCATTCGGTCTCTTGAGGGCTATGTTGTATAATCTGATGATTTATTTCCCGCATTCAAGAAATTTCGCTCCTCTTGAAATCTCGACAGCAGGACCACTGAACCAACTTAAATCATATAACACAGGAAAACCCAATTTTTAAATAAGATTACTTACCCTGACAATATTTGATTTTGTTGCAATTCTGGAACTGCGAGTGGTAACAGTCGAATTTTGGCAGTACTTCCCGTAATATATTTTGGGTTGAAATGGTCCAAACATTCCTTTGATATTGGAGTTAATTGAACTCCACAAGCTGCTTCCCAATTCATTCTCCTTACATCTTTAGGAACACTAAAAAAGTTATATTTCCATTAACATATTTATACCCTTCACCACACTGTGGTACATGGTATTATGTCTTTGTGCATATGTTTGTAACAGGAGATAGACACATGGTTCCTTTTGAGAATATGCATAGAATCACTTCTGAGTCGATTTATGCATGTCTGTCTGTCCATGTATTTTTGTGAACAAAGTACAGGTCGCATTTATGATCCGATTTGGATGAAATTTGGCAAAGGTCACTTATTTGGCCCAAGGACGAACCCTATTGAAATTGGGAAAAATCGGTTCAGAGTTAGATATAGCTCCCATATATATTTTCGTTCGATTTACTATAGATGGTGCACCAAAGTCCCTATATCTCTCGATTTGCACGAAATTTGGCACAGCGTAATGAATTAGGTCTAGAATTATGTGTGTTAAGTTTCCTGAAAATCGGTTCAGATTTAGATATAGCTTCATATATATTTTCGTCCGATTTAATGTAAATGGTGCATCAAAGTCGCTATATATCTTTCGATTTGCACGAAATTTGGCACAGCGTAATGAATTAGGCCTAGAATGATGAGTGTTAAGTTTTCTGAAAATCGGTTCAGATTTAGATATAGCTCCCATATATATTTTCGTCCTATTAAATGTAAATGGTGCACCAAAGTCCCTAAAAATCTTTCGATTAGCACGAAATTTGGCACAGCGTAAGGAGTTAGGTCTGTGTTAAGTTTCCTGAAAATCGGTTCAGATTTAGATATAGCTCCCATATATAATGTAAATGGTGCACCAAAGTCCCTATATATATTTTGATTTGGCACGGCGTAATGAATTAGGCCCAGAATGATGTGTGTTAAGTTTCCTGAAAATCGGTTCAGATTTAGATATAGCTCCCATATCTTCAGCTAAAATGCAAAAAGGTGTAACTAACAAAAGCATAATTGTGTAGGAGAAGCAAAAAACTGTTTTAAATGAAAACTATAAACATGTAAAAAAAGTATGCCCGGCAGGTTGATATTGCATATGAAGAATAATAGACTATATTTTTTTAACAAATTTAGTTATTTAGTTTAATGGCAGTCGTAACAATTAAGTAAAAACGTGAATTTTTTGTTAGTTACGCCTTTTTGCATTTATCAAACAAACCAACTTGTAGTTACGTCTTTTTGTTTTTTGTTAATAGAAGCTCCTTTTTTGACCGCAGACGTGTAAAACGTTGTCAACACATGTAGTTTATTGACTTTCACAATATTCATTCAAAAAGTCAATTTTCAATTTTTTGTTAGTTACGCCTTTTTGTATTTTAGCTAACGATATATCGACGCCTCCGAACCATAGTATGCTAAGTAAATTTTTGCTTATAACTTTGGTTTGGATTGGCCGATGATAACCAAAATTTCAGTGAATTTAAATTAAGGACCGTAGTATCTAAAAACGTAAAGATCTATAAAACATGCTAAGTCGACTTAACATACTATGGTTCGGAGGCGTCGATATATTTTCGTCCTATTAAATGTAAATGGTGCACCAAAGTTCCTTAAAATCTTTCGATTAGCACGTGTTAAGTTTCTTGAAAATCGGTTCAGATTTAGATATAGCTCCCATATATATTTTCGTCCGATTAAAGATAAATGTTGTGCCAAAGTGCCTTAATATCTTTCGGTTTGCACGAAATTTGGTACAGCGTAATGAATTGCAGAATGATATGTTTATGGATCCAATTTCATTTTACTGGTCCTTTAAAAATGTGACTTCTGTTAGAATACATCTGTTAAATATAGCCAAAGTGGTGAAGGGTATCATATAGTCGGCTCCGTCTGACTTTACTACTTTCCTTACTGATTTTTTCTTAATGTTCTTGCTTCTCTAATTACAAAACACAAAAATCACGACACTTAATTTTTATCAAGGTTTATTCATAACAATAATGTTGTTTTGTAATATGATTAGTTATTGTAATTCATGAATACACCTTGAGTCTACCTAATACACCTACCTTGTGTATAAGCAATAGGGCTGCTACAACAACAAACACAACCTTGGTATGCATTAGTATGGACAATCCAACTATAAATCAATTTTTTGTTAACATTTCGTTTGAAATTTGTTTTACATTTTAGCACATTTTTGTCTTTTTGAAAACTCTAGGATTTTTTTTATCAATGATGTTTTGGCAATACAAGAATGAATAAATTAATCTTTTATGCTAAATGAAATGTTTCTTTTATGTCTTTTCAGCATTTAATCCAACAGCAGTGCCAAAAACTACTCCAACTCCCACAATGAAACCAAATATATTCAAAATTGTACCTGAAAATATGCAAACAAAACCTCAAGTTGTAACTTTTAGCACTAAAAGTACAACACCGACAACGACAACTCTGACATCAACAGTATCAAACACAAATATGATCAAACAAATGCAAACAATATCCTCAAAGCAAAATATTCCGTCTTCGAAAATTGCCCCAAAGCCAAACGGCGGCTCTTCTAATAAAAATGTTGTATTCCACAAGGAAGGAAAGCTGTATATCATTGATCCTCTGCAAATGAAATTTAAGCAACAACAGAAGAAACAGGTTTCGCTGTTAAAACCTCAGGTCAGTTTATTAAAGCAACAATTGAGGCAACAAAATGAAACTACTGTAACTAATATGCCTATTGTAAAGTCAAGAGCTGACCATGATTACACACCGCCGCTCAAGACCTGCGTGCAGACCAATTCCCCTCAAGTGCATTATGGTCTTAAGCAACAGCGACTCAATACGCTCAATATTTTTCAGTTAATGCAAATGAAACGGATTCTATTTGAAAAAAACGTTTTGAGGCAGCAATTTACAAATATGCAAAATGCCGTAGAATTTATTTTACGCAGGCTAAAACTCATTGCCCCCAAAGATTCGTTAGTATCAGCTTTTCCGTTTGTTTCCAACACTAACGAAGAGTTTCAATTGTTAACAGCCTTCAAACAGCGCACTCATGAATGGCTACGTGCCAAACATATTTCACTTCTAATGCGAAGCCATAAAGATTTGCAACATATAAATAATGCAAATGGGGATACCTTTTGGACAACTAAAGAAATTGCAACATTTGCCCGTCAATACGCGTATACACCTGATATAAAATCTCTACCGAAGCTAAATGCGCATTCTGAACAGAATAGCAAAGATTTTAAAGAGTTAGTGAAAGGGGAATTGAAACAAAAAGAAATCACCACATGTGACACTCTTTCGGATTGTCGGACCATCATAAAATGGATAGAGAACATATGGCCAGTTCTTATTAGTTACCAACATGCTGAAGAAGAAAATCAAACCATTGACGTAGATGGAATCAACGACGAAAATTATGAGATTGTTAAAAGGGCACAGAGTCATAAATCCGGCACTGGATTAAGCGTAAACGAGTGTTCAAAAAACACCTACCTTTCACCCCCTACTAATTTGCAAAATGAATGTAGTTTATTGATGCATATTTGTAAAGATTTAAGTATACAGTTAGATCACGAAGAAATATCTCCTAACATATGGAATCCCTCCGTTCAAATAATTTTAAGTCACTCTCTAAACATATTTCTCCAAAAGATTATACGGGGTGTAATAAGTTTAAAGAATCAGGAAAACGCCTCCTCTATTGAATTAGTTCATACCATTCAACCAGCTGACATTGCAAAAGTTTTATCCAAATTAAGAGAGTTCGACTTTCTGACGAATAGTAATTTTGGTACAAATTCGAAAGTTGATTTGTACACTATTAAACAAGAAAAATCATGATACCTTCTACTCGATTTGCGTATCACATTTGAGAAATTACGACGTTGTAATAAAACTCTCACACTGTATGTATGGATTTTTAATTGTACTTTAGACATACAAATAATTTTACTGTTTTATATTTTAGGAAATATGTATCAATTGTGTTTTATAGTTTCATGTATATTATTTATGTGTATATGTAATAGGTATATATGTACGTATTTTAATAAACACTCAGAATAAAAAGGAAAACATTTAAATGAATTACCTTCTTAATGTGTTATTTTGGGGATATTTGTTAAGATTTTAAATAAAAAATAATTCCAATTTGAGACATTGAAGTATATAATTTCCAGATTTAAAGTTAAGGATACTTTACCATTATGTACTGGCTGCAAATCTGCCCAAAAAATAAATCTAATGTATGTATGTCATTAACACCACTGTTTCTGATGGACCATCTCTGTTCCTAAGTTTTTATAAATTAACTTGCTTAACGCCTTGCTCTTCGCTCCAGTCGAATTCGAATAAGCGAACCCCGGTTTATTGAAAAAATCGGTTAATTGAAAACACAAATTATAAACTAATATTTCGGTTGAATTTTCAACACGCTTCTTCGTTTAACCGAATTCGACTGTACATATATAAATGAAAAGTCGTTAGTTACACCGTCCATAACTCAAGACGATTTGGATTGAGATTGCACTATGGACCGGTTAGGCCACTTTCCAGGATAAAGCGTTTTTTTAGAGGGCGTGCGGGTTGTTCCAACCCTCTTCTCAACACAACTTGACAACGAGCTTATAATAGTTGTTCCTAAATGTGAATCAGTTTTCAACTATGCTTGAGCAACTATTGTTATGCACAACTCTTTTTAAAGTATTACTGATTCCCAATATTTTTGTATAGTCATGCTTCTTTTCATGAAATTTGTGTTGTTTTACCTGTAAGAATAAATATTAACTAAACGAAATGGCATAATTATTAAAGGTAGTCTCATTTGCTAAATCGATGATGGCAACCCCAGCAACTCTGTATTAATTTTGTCATTTTCAAGGTCTATATATTAAGGGGTGGCGTAGGGGTGATAGATACCAAGCAACGGCTCTGCTTGGCTTTAACATGGCGAAGCCCAGGCTTATCTTGGTCCCTCTTTCAATTGTGGACACTGACCTCCCCGCGGTGCCGCCTGGGGAGCTATTTTCATCACCCGATGAAATAGTGAGCGCGTGTTTATCCATAAGAACTATAAAAAATGGGTTCAGGCGTCGGGTTAGTTGCCCACTCTCGGAAAATCCAACCTACTATAAAAAAACAAAGAAAAAGAAAACTAAACCCCCCTAATGTTGACGACCCCCGCAATCGTATAAAGGACCACGATCTGCGAATCTGCACTTGGAATGTGCGCACGTTGTACAGAACGGGCGCAGTGTTCGCTTTGGCGGATGTACTCAAGAAGTACAAAGCCGATATTATTGCCTTACAGGAAATACAATGGAAAGGTACTGGCGTAAGTAAATCAGATGATTACGCCCTGTATTATAGCTGCCATGAAACGAAACATGAATTTGGCTGCGGATTTATGGTTAACAGGAGAATAAATTACCTCGTCTCCAGATTCACTCCAGTAGATGAGCGAATTGCTATTCCGTATAAAAGCGAAGTTTTTCTATATCAGTCTCATTGGCGCCCATGCTCCGACCGAAGATAATGATGAACAGACCAAAGACATATTTTACGCCTAGAAACAGCATATGACCGTTGCCCTGTCCATAACATTAAAATTCTGCTAGGAGATTTTAATGCAAAAATCGGAAGGGAAAATATCTTTGGCCTCTCCGTCGGAAAATTCAGCCTTTATGAATAAACATCAGACAACGGCATGAGGTTGATTGACTTCGCGGCAGCAAAAAACATGGTAGTTATCAGCAACAGGTTCAAGCATCTCGATATACACAAGGCCACTTGGATTTCTCCCGATCGAACAAGGAGAAATCAAATCGATCATGTAGTGATAGACGGAAGGCAGTCATCCAGTATTTTAGACGTCCGATCGAACCGGGGAGCGAATATCGATTCGGAACATTACTTTGTGGTAGCCAAGGTACGCACCCGTCTTAATGTATCAGCAAAGGTGCGATCTAATGTAGCACGGAAATTTGACGTCGAAAAGCTGCAAACACAACAGATAGCAGAATCCTACTCCGCTCAACTTACCCAACTGCTTGACGAAAGCACCCATTGTCCCGATAATAATATAGAAGCACAATGGCAGAGAATTGCCCACTCCCTACAAACTGGAAACCTGGTGACAGTTACAGACAGCGTGCTGAGGATCTGGAGAAACTTCTGGTATCAAATAGTAGCAGTGAAGTGGATACCCCAGAACCAATAATAGATGACGGTATAGAGTGTATACCACCTAGCCAAGATGAAGTCAGAATAGCAATCAATCGGCTGAAGAATAATAAAGCAGCAAGCCGAACTATTCAAGACTGGTGGACAGATGCTGGTAAGGAGCATGCACCAGCTGATTAGTACAATTTGGCTAGAAGAATGCATGTCCAATGATTGGAACCTCAGCATCCTGTGTCCTGTGCACAAAAAAAGGAGACAAGACGATATGTGCCAACTATAGAGGAATAAGTCTCATTCCCATCGCATATAAAGTGCTATCCAGCGTACTGTGTGAAAGACTGAAGCCAATGGTCAATGACATTATTGGACCAATGTGGCTTCAGACCTGGCAAATCCACCGTTGACCAGATTTTCACTCTGCGCCAAATCCTGGAAAAAAAACACCAAAAACACATCGACACATTCCACCTATTTGTCGACTATAAAGCCGCATTCGACAGCCCTATCCGTTCAGTGGTGTATAAAGCCATGTCTGCGTTTGGCATTCCTGCAAAATTAATTCGGCTATGCAGGATAACTTTAACTGGCACAAGATCAGCAGTTAAAGTCGGAAAGGACCACTCGGAGCCCTTTAATACCGAAAGAGGATGACAGTTTGTCGTGTGACCTTTTTAACATCCTGCTGGAAAAGGTCATACGAGAGGCAAAAGTGAACAGAAATGGCACTCTGTACACCAAACAACACATGTTACTCGCCTCACGCCAGACCAAACTCACACTCTACAAGACGCTGATACTACCCGTGCTGTTATACGGATCTGAAGCATGGGTACTTACGCAAGCAGATGAGGCAGCTCTTGGAGTATTTGAGAGAAAAATTCTCCGAAAGATCTATGGGCCGATATGCGTTGACGGTGAATATCGCCGTAAATGAACCATGAGATGTACCAGCTATTCTTGGACATCGGCATTGTTAGACGTATTGAGCTGCAGCGACTACGTTGGCTAGGCCATGTTGTGAGAATGGATGAAGATGCCCCAGCCCAGAAGGCATATAAAAGTTAACCAACTGATGGTTCGCGCAGAAGGGGAAGGCCAAGAATACGTTGGAAAGATCAAGTCGAAGACCATATCGCCGAAAATGATCTTTCAAATTGGAAAAACTGCGCAAAAGACCGACGCGCCTGGAAATCTTTTCCAAGATCGGCTTATTGAACGTAAGTTCTGTCACAAGCCAGCTAAGTAAGTAATGTATTAAGGTCATCCAGTAAGCCTATCGGATATCTACATTTTTTGTCAAATCATATTGAATTCAGAAAAATAACCGCTGTTAGCTTCGAAAAAGGCTTCGATAAAATTTTCAATTTGCTTAAAAATTATCCAAAAAATACACAAAATGTTTATCAAGTGTAGTGAAAACAATAATTTATTAAAATAAAATCGTTAAAATTTTGTTGTGCGCGTTAAAATAAATCGAAATTTTTTTCAAAGACATTTTCGCCACAACAACAACTTTTGGCTGGAAATGTAGATATATGGTTGTATATTTCCTTTTGAATGATCTGATATTTGGGCCATGGTAATTTTCAAATAAAATTTGTATTTTGAAAGGTAACCATTTACGTACGACGAATTTGAAAATATTGAAATAAATTATAATATTATATAATTTATTTTAATATTTATATATTAAAAGTAATCACCCTTATTACGGTATGCGTAGTCGTTGTACGGCAGCTCTCGTAGGCGTAGTCGAATGCCTTGTCGTAGTCGTTTTTGGTCGGTATTATGTAAAATTTACGACAACGCCAAATTTTGTAGCAGATTTTCTTTTACTCCGTTACAAAAACAAAGCAAAAATGCTAAGTGTAATTCTTATGAATATTAATCAGTGAATATTATTAAAATGCAATTTTAACACATTTTTATATTTTTTGTATGCTGTCGTCGAAAGAATCTTGAACGACAAATTTGGCGTATTGAAACGACTTTCATAATACCGATTTGTCGTATAAGTGCGACAGGGCGCAATTATCGACACGACAACGCCAACCATAATAAGGGTGAATAATTTTAAGTATGGACCAATTTCGCTGCTTAATATGCATAGACATATTTTACAATTTTACATGAGAGACTATAAACAGCCAGCAACATGTGATAAATTCGACGTAATAATTGTAGATAGATCGCAATAATTGTAGATATTTTATTTCTAGAAAAAGTGGACTTGTTGCCTTTTGACGTTAAGCCAGCGATATGTAATTCTGTATATGTAAATAGCGTCATTCCATTTATATGTCCACCATTTATTTAATATTACCATAATCCACAACAACGATATAGTCCTGGTCGGCTGTTCACCCTGCTTTATTCATACGTGATTCCAAGCCTAATCTGGCTTAGGGTATGTTTGCTGTCAGTCTCTAAAATGAACCAAAACCTCATATAATTAATTTTCCAGTTTTTGATCTTTTGAAAATGTCTAAGAGAAGTTTATTATTATAAAAATTATAATTTTTCAAAATGACGGTACAGCAAGAAAAAAATTTCAACATATGAGTGCACGAGACTACCATTCTTATTATACCGTGCTAAAAGGTAAGAAATAATCATAAAATTTTAAATACAATAATATAATTATAAAATACTTCAAATTT